TTATGCACATGTACCCTACAACTTAAAGTATAATAATAATAAATAAATTTAAAAAAAAAAAAAAAGAGAGAGTCACGTCAAAATCAAAGATACAGACCCAAATCTCATGTGGAGGTAGCTTAGGACAGAATCTATCTAATGGGGGTTTTCGGGGAGCTGATTTCAGAAAGTCACTTCAAGACTTCTGTCTGTTATCCAGCCTATGCTAGCTAGTCTACACCTTGCCTCTTTCCTGCTATCATGTTTCCAGGAAAACAAATAATATTCTCCCTGAGACGACTGTTCATTAGGAAGCAGAGATACCTACTTTACCTTTTTAGCACCCAAATACATTCACCCAAACCAGTGGTCTCAGTTAAAATCAAAACCTTTTAAGGTTCTTGATCTGGTTTTCCTGTACAGCACAGCTTCTGAATCAAAAGAAGGGGGAGAGATTCTAAATTTGGTTCAGCTGGTTTCTCATACTTCTTACTGAAGAATATCTGGAAGCTAAGAAGCAAAATATGTAGGTTGCATTTTCAGTTTTAAAACTAATGGAAAAAAATACTCAGTATATTTCACTGTTTCCAATTTTTAATCTCTGTTTTTATTCACTCTCAAGAGCAATCACTTCCCCATGGGAACTTTATAACAGTTGTCTGTAGTTCATTCTGGAGGTAAAATTTCCCCTAAGAACTTGGAAATAAGGGAGATAAGAGTGGTCTCTGGGAAATAGACTTTAGGACAAACGCAATGACCAGAAGATAAAATCACTTTTAAAGAAAAAGAGTGGGTCTGGGTTTAGAAGACCTGAGACTATGCTTATTAACCAAAATCATTACCAAAGAAGGAGTACAACAAAAAGGGGGATGTGAGAGGGGCCAGGCACAACCATTTACAGAAGAAGAACAGACTTTCCTGGGCAGACTCCCCAGGCAAGATCCCCCAAACTTCTGAACTACTCACAGACCCTTCCTAATGGGAGAGCACCAAACATATTGGGCCTTGATTCATCCAATGCCTTTGTCCTAATTCAGTCCTCACTGAGCAGCCTTCCTTATGTGACTTTCTGTGTAAGCCTGTCTATGGGGAAAGAAGGCACTGACCACATAGGCTTGGACTCACCTATACAACCACAGGTGTGAACTGAATCCTCTCTAAGTGCCTGGCTCTGTCCTAGACAACAGACATACAATAGAAAACTCAACAGTTCAGGTCCTTAGGGAAAACACAAACAAGCAAATAAATAAGTAACTGCAGCTAGTGATAAGAACCATTAAAAAATAATAATAATAAAGGCCATGCCTGTAATCCCAGCACTTTGGGAGGCAGAGGCTGGAAGATCGCTTGAGCCCAAGAGTTCAAGATGAGCTTGGGTAACATGGTGAAATCCCATCTCTACTACACAGAATACAAACATTAGCTGGGCATGGTGGCATGCACTTGTAGTCCCAGCTACCTGGGAGGCTGAGGCAGGAGGATCTCTTGAGCCTGAGAGTCAAAGGTTGCTGTGAGCCCAGATTGTGCCACTGCACTCCAGTCTGGGTGACAGAGACCCTGTCTCAAATAATGCTAATAATAATAATAAAGCTAGGTGATGGACTAGATAATGGCTGGGTGGTAGGTGGTTTAAGAAGAGGGATCAGGAATGGCTTATTTGAAAAAAAAAAAAAATGACATTTAATTTAAGAGCAGAGACAAAGCCTACCCCAAGCATTTGTTTCGTTTTGTTTTGCTTTGAGAAGGAGTCCTGCTCTGTCACCCAGGCTGGACTGCAGTGGAGCAATCTTGGCTCACTGCAAGCTCTGCCTCCCTGGTTCACACCACTCTCCTGTCTCAGCCTCCCAAGTAGCTGGGACTACAGGCGCCCGCCACCATGCCCGGCTAATTAGTAAAGACGGGGTTTCACCATGTTAGCCAGGTTGGTCTCGATTTCCTGACCTCGTGATCTGCTCGCCTCGGCCTCCCAAAGTGCTGGGATTACAGGCGTGAGCCACCGCACCCAGCCCCAAGCATTTTCTAAAAGCATTTTCTAACTACGCTTTTTAAAACGTCATGTATTGACACGATGGTAGAGAACAGCATGATGAAAAGACTTAGAACCAGCAATGCGAAAGGGAGTATGAAGTGTGTAGACAAGTTAGGTAATGGGTAGATTCTTTTTTTGTGCTTGCCCTTCATCAAACACAGCTGAAGCCCTACTTCCTCACTGCCAATCCCTGCCCAACCCTCTCCCAGGTTTGCACCCCCAGATGTTAAACATGACTGTGCCTCTGGCTGATAGCGTGGTGAGGATCCAGAATCTGCCATGTAACAATAGGGAAAGAGAGCTTCTCTGCAGAGGGAACAGGAAAAGCTGTCAGAGAAGAACAAACCCAATGCTTCTTTGGAACTTACAGTGAATCTGGAGCTTTATGAACACGGAGAAAAGTACAGGAGCCAGGATCAGAGAAACAGCCAAGAGCAGAGCCACAGGAAAAAGCTTTAGTTTTACTGTAAGTCCAGTAGGAAGTAAGCAAGTGACATGACCTCATTTGCATATTTATTTTTATTTTATTTTTTTGAGACAGAGTCTCACTTTGTCACCCAGGCTGTAGTGCAGTGGAGCATGAGCAGCCTCAACTTCCCAGGCTCAGGTTATTCTCTCACCTCAGCCTTCAGAGAATCTGGGATTACAGGTACACACCACCATGCCCACCAATTTTTGTATTTTTAGTAGAGATGGGGTTTCCCATGCTGCCCAGTCTGGTCTCAAACTCCTGGACTCAAGCAATCTGCCCATCTCCGCCTCCCAAAGTGCTAGGATCATAGTCTTGAGTCACCATGCTTGTTTACATATTTTAAAGATCCCACTGGCTACTAGGCGGAGAATAAACTGCAAGGCTAAAGGTAAAAGAAGCAGCAAGATTAGTTAGAAAGTTCTAAAAGTACCCTAGGCAAGCAGTGATGTGGCTTGACTAGGATGCCAGCAGTAGTGTTGGAGAGAAGAGAGTAACTTTAGGGCATATTTTGGAGATGGAGTCCCAGGATTTGTTGATAGACATGTATGTGGGGTGGAGAGTCATGCTTTGGCTTAGCAGAGTAGTGATGTTTATGGAAACTAGAAAGATTGGGCTCTTTGATGGGCTTGAGATGTCCACTAAAGGCACAAGTAGAGATTAAGTTAGGCAGCTGGGACTCCTGGGAAAACATTGAGATGAATATATAAATTAGGCACTTATCTGTGCCTAGATGATCTCTAAAGCCATGGGCATTCCCAGCCTTGAGGTGGTGATTTTTCACTGTAAATTAATAAATTGGGTAACTTATTAAGGTAGTGGGAGCCAAGCTAAGATGCCCCAACACAGCTGGTCATCCCCAGTGTGGGCCTGCCCATCTGCTTTGCCAAAGGCCTCAGTTGAGAGCTGCTTCTACAAGGTTGTTTTGTTGTGTTTCCACATATAAAACTCTGTGCCCAAGTTCCCCTTTATTCTTACGGATCAACGTGGAAATCAGAAAAAGTGATATTTATTTAAAATGTTTTTGAAAAAATGCATGACAGTGCTTATTTGGTGGAATAAAGAAATATTACACAAATAAAAGAGAAACTTAAATAAGCAGATTAAGCAATACAACCAAACACTTGTGTAGACCTTTTCTGAGGCAACATGCAGTAACCAGAGCTCCTTGACTCTGAACTCAATGTGGAAAGGCTCTATTGGTTAAGTAACCTAACGAAACAAGTACCCCAAAAAGTCATGATAGACATCCTAGAATAAAATGAACATAGGGCAATTTATATTTATCCCCTTAATAGTTATTCATTGAGTAATTACTATGTAATTACTGTGTTGACTTAATGCCCTCCTGGGGCTCCTTTCTCAGCAGAGGAGACAGACCATACTAAGGGATGGAGCTGATGGAGGTGGGTGTGAAATACCTTTTGACCAAGGTAAGAAGGTGATAGGCAGTTCCAACGAGAAAAGGACCCTTAGTTAAGCTGCCCCTAATGGGGCAGCTGGGCTCAGGATCTGCTGAACCAGCCTGAGAAGGCTGAACCTTCTCTCCTCTAGGCTCTATGCTTCATTTTAAGTGCCCATCTTTCCCCCTCAGGCTGATGGCTGCATCCTGTAAACCATTTAAGTGTTAAGATCCAAGAATGCTTGACTTTTCATTTCAGATTATGTAGGATGAACCAGTTTAGGTAAAGGAAGTTTCCTTAGTATCACTTCCAATTGACTAGAAATTTACCATGGGGTTTGTGGCCAGTGCCCTGACTGGCTATAAACACGTCTTGCTCTGCAGGTCACTGACCTGAGTGTGTATTTCCCTCAAGGACCTGGGAGAGAGGAGTGACTATGGCAGGACAAGGTTCACCTTATCTTGAAGTCCCTAGGCCAAAAATTTTATTAGTAGCACTCTTAACTAGCACCTCCATTTCATTATTGCCAACAGTCAGGCTTTTAAAGGGCTTCAGAGGCTACAGACTTTTTTTTCAATGTCTGAACTTCAGATGAGTTGTCATAAAATCACCTTTGTTCTACATGATGCATTGTGCCTGGATGAAACAACTCATTATAAAAGGAGAACACTGCCCTTCCCCACCATGTCAGAATTCAGTGTTTGCCACAAAGGCAGCATCAGCTTCAACCGAAGATAATAGTCACATACACATACTCACAATCACAGCTGAGTTTGATATTTTACCTATGACAGTCTTTTATTAAACTCTTTGTAAGAGATTTTAAATACTTTCATTCTTTATAACTTATTTGGATAACACTGCACAAGAATGCCCCTCCCTTTCCCCATTTCTCTGCACTATCACCAAAGGCCAGTTGTATTCTAGATAATCAGCACATAAAGTAAAATCAGAAAAGAATTAATTATTTCCATGTTTACCTATAAAGATAATGGTTTGAAACCTGTTACTGTGTTTTTCTTCCTGGATAATTCCTCATTGGAAATTACAGAACACAGGCTCTAGGTGCCACAGCCTTTTGAAAACTTCTATCCTGAGAGGATCACAGACCTTGCCTTACCTTTAGTTGAACTAGATGTACATCCACATGTTTGCTGTCCGAATCCTGCTGGACTGAATAGGTTAGGTCTCGGACCCTCTCTGAGGTCATCCGGAGCCAGGTCTCAATTTCAGGTAAGTGGAGGACAATTTTCCAGTCAGCCCCTGTGTGTAGTGGGGGTGGCTTTTCATACTGCTGGTCAGAGTCCATGTCCTTCATTGCCTCTTCTCCCTCACCCTGCTCCACAGTGGGGGTCACATTGATGGCCATGGGTGAAGCATCAGTAGCCATGGGATCCAGGTCCTGTGACCTCAGGGGGGAAAGTGTCACGCTCATGGTTAACATGGAGAAGTCTAAACCTCACTTCTTTCCAAAACAGCTGAAAGGCAAGAGGAAAGAAGAAAGCAAGAGTCAGTCAAGATTGCCAAATAAAGAAATGATACTTCACAGAAGAAACAGGATTTCTAAATTAAGCCAGATTTCTAAATTAAGAAACCATAGCTCATAACAAAAACAGAAAGAGGTGTTTTGATTTTCTACATGGTAGCCCCAAGAGCCAGGAAATAATATGAACATAAAACCATTGTGATATTGCCTACTACCCCCCGCCACCCCCATCTATTTTTCCCTCATTTCTTCGTAACAAAATCCGAGTTTTTAGCTGTTCATATTCCTGCCCAGAATTTAAAACTACATTCCCCATCTCCTTTGCAGCTAGGTGTGGCCATGTTCTGGCCAATGAGTGGAATTGTTGTGTTGAAATTCTGGGAGAGCTGCTTACAGGGAGCTGACTCAATTAGGAGGGGCTCCCTTTATGCCCTTCTACTTTCCTCCCCTTCTTCCAGCCTGTGACGTGGACTTGATGGCTAGAGCAGCTGGCAACCCAGACCCAGAAAGGCCTTTGACTATGATGGGTGGAGGATGGTGGAGCATGGAGGTAGAAACACGGGTCCCATATGATAACAGAGGAGCTACCATACCAGGTCTGAGTGCTGCCCTGTATTTCTTTTATGTGAGAAAAAAGCCAAACTTCTATCTTGTTCAAGCCACGATTATTTTGGGCTTTTTTACTAAAAGTATCCAAACATCATTTTGACTATAAAATCAACATATTCAATACATGGGACAGCTACAGTGGGAAGATGTTCTAACTACAAAAAACACTGAGCTGAATTCAGGAGATATTGCTCCTTTCTATGACTTGTTAGCTAAATAATAACCTGTGACAATCCCAAATCTTTACTTTCCTAGAAAATATAAATCATGGATTGTACTGAATAGATCTAATTAACTCTCAATCTAAATTATATTAATATTTGGTTATATGGAATTTTTAGAGGTTTCTGGAATTTTAAGGGTAATAAATTGGTCTGAAATACATAAACAGTAAAATATTAACCAAATAAGTTAAAATAACGTAAGTGTAATTCATCATAAAGTAAGGTTGGGTTTTAAGATAAATTTAATTAGTTTAATTGTCCAGCTATTAAATTTATCTCTCTTCTGGAACCAGTCTAGTATAACAACAACTTTTAGGCTCTTGTATTTTAAAATAAATAAGCACTATTTTTAGTCTCAGGAGCAGCTTTTTCTACTCAAGGCAATGAATTTCTTTTTCTTTTATAATTTTTTGTCTGGTTCTACATATTCAAGTTAGTTTATACCGTTATTCCCCCAAAGATGAAAGGTGACTCACCAAAAGATCAGAAATTAAATGTGATTGTCAAAAAGTAGTTCATATTTGTATAGTAACAAATATTCAACAACAGAAGCAAAATTATCTTTACATACCAAAAGAGAGGGGAAACTTTAGAAATGCTTCCAATTTGACTGGAAACATGTATCTTTCCATACAGGAATGAGGAGTGGAAATAAAAAAGACTTGTTGAGTTGACAAAAGCCTTAAGACTAAGTCACTGCTATGACATATTTTTTCAGAATCTTTCCAATACTGCAGCATAATCCCTTTCTCTAATTTCTTAAGCATCTAACTTTTGAATTAAATGATGAGGAGAAGGCCAGGCGCGGTGGCTCACGCCTGTAATCCTAACACTTTGGGAGGCGGAGGCGGGCGGATTACCTGAGGTCAGGAGTTCAAGACCTGCCTGGCCAACATGGTGAAGCCCCATCTCTACCAAAAATACCAAAAATTAGCCGGGTATAGCGGTGGGCACCTGTAATCCCAGCTACTCAGGAGGCTGAGACAGAAGAATCGCTTGAACCCGGGAGGGGGAGGTTGCGGTGAGCTGAGCCAAGATGGCACCATTGTGCTGTAGCCTGGGCAACAAGAATGAAACTATGTCTCAAAAAAAAAAAAAAAAAAAAAAAGAGAATTACAGATAAATTTTTAAAACAAAGTTATTTGCACAGAGCAAAATATATGTCATAAAGTAGGTTTACCACTTTGATACCTGCCTTAGAGAATGGCTTCAGGCTTCAATTAGATAGCCTCCTCCACCTGATTGCAAAAGGCAGAAATCCATACCCCACACTTTTTTCTTTCCCATGAATATAAGGCAGACACCCCACATTTTTAACTATGCTTGTATTCTCTTTTAAAAGTAATAAGAATACTAGACCCAGCTATTAAAAAAAAAAAAAACAAAAACAATTAGAAAATAACAAAATTTCACTGAGAGGGATAAAACTCCAGGAAGAGTAAGCTACCATACCACTTCTTCATAAACCATACTCCAGCCTCAGGCTGATTCCAACTTCTCCAATTTTTTTTTTTTTTAGACAGAGTCTCACTCTGTCACCCAGGCTGGAGTGTCGGCCAGGCTGGAGTGCAGTGGCATGCTCTCGGCTCACTGCGAGCTCCACCTCCCGGGTTCACGCCATTCTCCTGCCTCAGCCTCCCGAGTAGCTGGGACTACAGGCACCCGCCACCACGCCTGGCTGCTTTTTTGTATTTTTAGTAGAGACAGGGTTTCACCGTGTTAGCCAGGATGGGCTCGATCTCCTAAGCCACCGTGCCTGGCCCCAAATTTTTAATATTTAGAAAAGATTATTAATTGAGCCACTGCCCTCTGGGGGTAAGTTTAGAATCACAATCCTAGAGAAGGAATCTGATACATAAAGGTTAATAAGGTTTCTAGTTCAAGAACATAGAACTGGTTATAAAGGGAGACACTGGTGTCACAACGGTTTCCTCTTCTAAGAAGCCAGAGTCATTGAAACTAGAAAACTGAATGCTGAGCCAGGGCAGCATACAATGAACTGTTTAAGCTACACTCACACACACACACTCGCCCACAAAACCCTGCCCCAAAGCCCTGCACAACTGAAAAACAGTGCTTAGTCACTGTGTTTTCTCTGAAACTCCTAAGTCAAGGCAGGGCCTTCCTTGGAATACACATCCTACTGTAAACTAAAAAACACACTAAAGAATTAGCTCAGTGCAATTTATGCCCCAACTTGCAACATTTCCATATACACCATTATGTGCACTAAGCACACTGCAGTTTTATATGATTCGGGGCAAAATGCTCCACACATTTCTTGGCCTCAGTTTCTTCATCTGTAAAATGACAAAATTGAACTAGATGGCCAGTAGGATCCCATTTGCCCTAAGAATCTGTGATTGCCTAGGGTTATTTATCCAGAGATTTGGAAGCTCTTGGAAGTTTCCTGCCTATCCTGAGAGCTGTGTAGCTACTAAATGATGGTCTCCATTTTATCAAAGCATACAAGTATTATTGATAGATGTGTCCTACTTAATGAAAAGGAATAAATTGCTATCATGAAAAAAGCATTTTGTTAAGTCATCATTTACACATTTTTTGTTGCTAATTCTTCCCAGAGGAACAAACATGGGAGATTCTCCCCTCTAGAAGTCTGCCACTTAAGACTGACAAAACAGATGTGGTTATATACGTAGAAGACAAATCAGAATAAAATAAAAATATGAAACAAAAGCATAGCTGGAGAGGAGAGGATGTGCATCCTATGTGAGTAAAGTACAAAGAAATCTTACATTCAAGCTGCCAAAGCAAAATTTTCCTGTAACTATAAAACTTTTACCTAGATGCTATGTTTCCACATTTAACTGATCAGACTATACACAAGAGAATTTCTATAACCTGCAGAAATAAAGCAAAGTGTGCTTTACTCAAGTTTCATTTCAACTTCTATTTACTTTCCCTCACATATATCTTTGCCACTAGGAAAAGAATGGTATATGTATCATTAAGCACAGCAAGCCTGGGTAGTAGCATAAAATGGATTAATTGCCCATTTTCATGAAAAGAAATTACCACATTTTTCAGTTGTTAGTAGTAGTTCACATTTAAATGTAGCATATATGGATGGTCATACTCTATTTCTGATTTTAACAGAATCACATCTGATTTTAAAGATAAATTATAATTTTTTAAAAATGCTTCCCATTGTGGAAACCTACAGTAACAGTCTTTGTGAATATTTTTCTTGCCCTTATCAGGATTATTCAAGCTTCTTTCTCACCAAGCTAATTACTCCATTTGAATGCAAACAGAAAGCAGGAAATTGAGCATAAGCCTGTATTTGTAAATAACATAAGTTTTGAATTCTTTTTTACAAGTCATCTTGCAATAAGATTTCTTTCTAGTCACAGAGACGTTTTTTAAAAAGCTTAGACTACAAGTTCTGATAGTGAAAATAAAAAAATTTGACTAAGTGCACACAGGCACCCACCAAGTTGCAACTCTGGCTCCAAGATGGTGTGAAGGGAGTGATCAGCCAGCTTTTTGGAACCCAGTGACCTCTCATCTCCCTCCCCCTACATCAAATGCTTGTCTGCGGCCACCTTTCCAACATTAGCGATAATACCACCTTTATCCCAGCTGCTGTTAAAAATAACATCCATCAAATCCTTTCCTTTACACAAATCCAAAGAAGAGGCAATAATTAAAGTGCAATAGCTGAAAGCAGTAATTATTTTAAGGCTTTTTAAAAAAAAGTTATAAAAGGGTTTTCCCATCTTACTCTATAATCCTATAGAAACATGCCATGGATGGCTTATTAACAAGAACTGTTTCTGTGATCTCGTGTCCACAAGTTTTGGGTTGGAGCCTGACGCTAGCAGAAGGCATTCGACTTGAATAAACAAACACAGTTAAATTAGAAAAGTTCATTCGACCAAATCAGGAGACAAAAAAGTTCAGCTACATCACCATCAAAACTTCCCACCTCTCTCTCCTTTCTTTTACAATTTTTTTCTTTTAAATAAAATAACAGAAAAGCCAGGTATCTTGCCGACTGTACTCACTGTAAATGGTTCTGTCCCTAATGGCCCTTCAGGATTAATCATCTGGCTCCTCCTCTCCCCGCTGTTTCTTTTCTTGTGGCCAAACAATATGAAGGCCAGTGTCGGGGCTGCACCATGCTGGAGGACACTGG